TAATAGTGAATAATAATAATCAGTACAAATAAATTAAGCTATCTCTATAACGGGCAGATTAAATAGTTTTTAGGGTCCATATTCAAGAAACAATAAAACCTATAATTTAAAAATTTAAAAACACTTTTCACTTCTTAAAAAAAAATTTACAGAAGAATTAAAGACCAAAACTGATCTTGGTTTTCTTTGGTCTTTTTGAGACAGGGTCTTGCTGTAGCCTCAGCTGTCCTGGAACTATGTGGACCAGGCTGGCCTCGAACTCACAGAGATCTGCCTGCCTCAGCAGAAAGCATCCCATTTTACTCACACTTCTGCTAGGATAGCTTTGTCTTTCCCAAAAGGCTACTGATATTTTTGGGGTGTGCCTCTAGCTTTCATTCAGTGTGAAGTAAGTTCCTGCTCTGTAGACATTTCTAGGTGCTAAGAGGACAAAAACAATATGGTACACAATCCCACACTCTTCAGAGCTTGCACTCTAGTGAAGGAGGTCAGACCTAAGACAGCTACAATGCTAGCAACATTTGTTTGAGAAAAATTATGGTACAGTAAAGACTTTCCCTAGAAGTGAAGAGATATGGACTATTCAGATATACTAGAAGGCTTCCAGAAAAACCCATGGCTAGATTTGGATCTTGGGAAAAAAGAAAAGCCGCATGAGGCTGGAACTGCAGGGACAGGCAGTCACAGACGGCACACAGGCAGTAGGATAGCTAGTCCTCCTCAGAGGGCCGGGGGCCGTACCAGGCCCTGGAAGAAGCTTTAAAGTATGTTCCAGTCGTTTTCTTATGTTGTGAAAGGCAGCATAGGCAGAGCTGGTGGTCTGCTCTTGAATGAGCAGGAATTAGGACTCTGCGTCACCCCATTTGAAGAGCAGTGACTCAGGCTCCTAATCTGGGGTAAAAACTGCAGACCAAAAACGCACGGCTGTAGATCAAAAAACAAGCCGAGAGTGGTGGCGCACGCCTTTAACACCAGCACTGGGGGGGCAGAGAGAGGCGGACCTCTGTAAGTTCGAGGCCAGCCTGTCTCCATAGTGAATCCAGGACAGGTGGGGCTACAGGACTCAAAAAGACAAAAAAAAAAAAAGCACGGCTACATCCTGACTCTCCAGAGATGCTATGCTGTTGGGGGAGCAGACGCGTGGGAGTGGGGTAAGGTATGTGAGTCATGGCAGAGGAGGAAAGGATGAGGGGTGATGGAAGCAGCTAGAACAATCCATTCTCTAGTTCTGGGGAAACGTTCTTGCTCAGTGTAGAAACCCTCCTTTCTATTTCTCCATGAAATTAGTAATTCTTTCAGATGCTAAATGATCTCTGAATTGACAGGCTTCAGGAAATGGATCTAATCTGGGTCTATGGTGTCACATTCCTTTAAAACTCTTTTTAGCTTATATCCTGCTCTAATTTGAACCAAAATCCCCTCGAGCCGAATATGGCCTTTTGCGTGGGGAAGTCATGATGCAGACTTCTTGTATTCCTGGCTTTCCTACCTTCCTGCTTTGTGTTGCTGCTGTGCACAGAGGAGGGGGCTGTGAAGTGGGAGACATCACCAGGGCACCTTTCCACCCACTACATTTGAGTGTTGCCATGGCAACTGATGATAGTGCCTAGAAGCAACCCAAGTGGGTTTTTTTTCCTTCAGTGGAAAGAACCTACTATTGCCTCAGGGATGTGTGAACCTGGGATTTGGAAACAGAGGGGTAGAATATTTGGCACACTTGATCCAGCAGGGCCAGTAGTACCCCAGGATCATACATGTGACTGTTTCAGGTGGCCCGTGATTGTAGGAGCAAAGTGGGCTCCCGAGGCACCCTATATATGCTTCCTATGCTGCCACTGTGGTTCGAGAGAGGTGTATGCAAGCCTTGGGAGGGCTGAGCTGGCTGCCTCCCTCTGCCCATAGTGGCCATCACAGGCTTTAATGCAAGGTTCCTCCATGTGAGCACAGTGTCATCATTTTGGCTAAAAAACAGTCCAACAGCCTGGAACTAATTCATCTCCATCAATGAGCCATCTCCTATAAGCTTTTAAAAGGAACGAGGCCATCAGCCCCTGGGAAGGTTGATAGGAATGCAGGACACAGTGGAAGAAATAGCCCCAGCCATGAGGGCAGACAGACCCGGGAACATGGAAGGCTTTGTGAAAGTTTTAAAACTCACCAGTCTTCAATATCCTCATGGAAATAGAAGAAACAATGCTCTGGAGTTATGAGAATCATAAATAATATGGATAGAACACATGCACTGTGATGAGCTAGTACAGAGTGGCTTTTCCTTAATGGTTAATGCTAAAATGATAACTGAAAACAGGACATGGACTTTGACTCATTAAGTATTTCACAGCCTCAGAATCAATGGGAAGCTTTTTAAAATTCTTGTCTATACCAGCCTTAGTCAGATTACACAAAGATGGGATGGAGGAATCTATATTTCTTTTTATAAAAATATTTTCTTCATTATTTTATGTGTATAAGTGTATTACCTGCGTAAGTGCACCTGTGTCATGCAGTGCCTGCAGAGGTCAGAAGAAGGTGTCAGATTCCCCTGGAACTGGAGTTATAGACAGTTGTTAGCTGCCATGTGGGTGCTGGGAATCAAACCTGGGTCCTCTGCAAGAGCAGCCAGTGCTCTTAACTGCTAAGCCATCTCTCCAGCCCTGGAAATGTATTTATTTGCTTGAAGGTAAATATTATAAACAGCCCTGGATGCCCTCCCTTTTCTCCCACTTCCGCCAACCCCGAGCATGCCACTCTTAATAGTCTTTAATACTTCTGAACTACAACTGCTTCTGCTGAGAGTTTCTGTGTTTGGAAAGAGAGATATTTGATAAAGTAGCTGAAATTAATTTGGTCGGTAAGGCAAAGAAAAAACAAAACTGTTCATTTACCAGAAGGGAAGTTACAAAAGTTGTATACAACTTGCAGATGACAGTTTGACTATCTGGACTATCAAGTGAGTTTTGAGCATGGCATTTAAAGTGACTTTGATAAACACAGCCTTCAGTAGAAGTTTAGCATCTATGTAGCTGAAGTTTTTTTCTGAATCCCATAGGAACGTGGCTGAAGAGTGGCCTGGGTCTCGTGCACCGGGAAGGCAGCCAGCTCACGTGGACGTACATTGCTCCCCAGTTGGGATACTGGGTGGCAGCCATGTCTCCTCCCATCCCAGGTAACTCAGAGTCAACAGTGACGTGGGTTGATTTTTTTCAGGGGTTCAATATGTTTTTAAAAATAACTCCAGACCTGAGAGATGGCTCAACAGTTAAGAGCACTGGCTGCTTTTCCAGAGGACCCAGGTTCGGTTCCCAGGACCCACAAAACAACTGTTAACGACTTCCCTTAACTCCAGTTGCAGGGGGTCTGGCACCGTTTTCTGACCTCCACAAGTATTGGTTGAACAACAAAGGTGTACATACATGCATGCAAGTAAAACACTCATAAAATTAAATAAATCAAAAAATGTTTCAATTAAATTAAACAAAAATAGCTCCAACTAGGCCAGGTGTCATGGAGCACACCTTTAATCTCAGTGCTCAGGAGGCAGAAGCAGGTGAACCTCTGTGAGATGGAGGCCAGCCTGGTCTACATAGCAAGGTCCAGGCCAGCTGGGGCTACAGGAAGACCCTGTCTCAAAAATACACAAAATAAAAAATTTTCCAAAGCTTCAACAGAGAATTCACATCATTTTTTTTAATCACATGATAAAGAAAGGATATTTTGTGATGTGGGGAGTTGTGGTTGAAACTTTCGCATGTACAATAGGAATAATCTGTGGAAATAGTTGTCTCCTATCCCCTTTTTGCTTGGACAGCTGCCATAGACAATTCTTAATTGAAAGCACACAGAGGTGACTGGGACCTCCTCCTTCATTTCTGTAGCAGGTGTGGCCTGGTGCACATGAGCATGAGCGACCCACACTCAGTAGAAAGTCACCACTGGGGGCTTCCTGGAGCAACGTGCTCCATTTAGCATTGCCAAACACTTACATGCTAACCGGTCGCTTTCTGCACTTAGGATATGTGAACTGACTTCTGTTCTTTAAAACAGAACTAGAAGTGTCTGTTTCTTAAACTTACATGGTCCCAGTTGTATTCCAGAACTGTTTTTCTTTTTCCAATCAAACTGTACATCTTGGGAGAATTATTTCCAGGGATGGCGCCTATTGCTGCCTTTAGAATCCATGCCACTTGGACTGCCCTCCTTGGTAAATCTCTTAGTCAGTAATGCTTATGCTCAATGTACACCTTTGATTCTTTTTTTTTTAATTTATATAAAAGTCATGCACATCCAGTTCTGGAGAATAAAATAGGTGATTGAGCTAGGTTTATTTTTTTAAAAAGGTGTCTTTTACAAATGAACCATCAAGGCACTCCCAAATGAAAAATCAAAATATTTTAGCAATGTAATTATCGGTGGAATTAATGCTTAGACTCTCAGAGTAACTAAGATAAGGCACTCCTCTATAGTTGTGGGAAACCCTGCCATGCTGGCGCTACAGTCCCATGCTGAGAACATTTACTCAGTGTTTTCCTCGATGGTAATTGTTCTCTTGGCGTTGTCAGCATGAACCAAGTACAGAAATCCTGTTTCCCTAATTTGCAGTATCAAAGAGTAGACCAATAGGAAAAAAAAAAGGAAAAGAAATTCTGTAGGTACCAAAGTAAAAGCCATAAAGCCCATGCATCAAAGTGAACTTTTATTTAAGGTATATTTCAGACAACTTTGGCAGTTTGAAATGCCATGTAGAATAGGAATAATACATGGAAATAATCTTATAGTAGTTTCCCCACCGTGCAACAGATTAATGTTGATATATGCTTTTATAAAGAGAAAAGAGGGGGACGCTGAGCATAGGTCTCCTGGGAGTATTCACACAGTAAAAGAAGAGGCTCAAAGCTGGAAAAAGCATACACAGCCCAGCTGAATGGTGCACAGTGTGGGGTGCTTATGTGGGTAACCTCATCACTATCACTTTTATTAAAACAAATTATGGGGGCTGGAGAGATGGCTCAGTGGTTAAGAATGCTGGTTGTTCTTGCAGAAGACCTAGGTTCAAATCCCAGCACCCACATGTCAGCTAACAACTGTCCATAACTCCAGTCCCAGGGGATCGACAGCCTCTTCTGACCTCTGTGGGCATTGCATAACATGGGTGCACTTACCTGCATGCAGGCAATACAGGCATACACATAAAATAAAAATAATAAATAAAATATTTTTTTAATTACGGTAATGCTGTGCTCTCATGAGCCCCACATCAAGAAGAAAACAATTAGAGTTTTGTCCTTTAATTCTTTGCTTAAGGAGGAGATAAAGTCTAGCTGTGAATTTTATGAAGATTTATATTGGCACAAACTAAAAATAATTACATTCTGAATGCCCAATAAACCAAAGTTTAGTTACTAGGAAATGGTTTTTATATATACCCAAGATTGCTGCCTCCTCCTCCTCTTCCTTCTTCCCCTTCCTTTCCCCTCCCCATCCCCTCCCTTCCTTCCTAGACTGAGGATCAAATCCAAATACATATGTTATCTTGGTAACTCTTAACAAGACTTTGTTGATATCTATGTATGTTGCCTTTGTAGTAATACTTTCTCCTGTGAACAGTTTAAGCAGTATAGACTCATCAGTTATTTCCCCAGCTTTGTAAACATTCACCCCACCCTCCCACTCTTTTTAATATTTTATTTATTATTTTTATTTTATATGTATGAGTGTACTTCCTACATGTATATAAGTGCTCCCATGTTGTGCAGTGCCCACAGAGGTCAGAGGGATTCCCCTGGAACTGGAGCTACAGACAGTTGTTAGCCGCCATGTGGGTGCTAGGAACTGAACCCAGGTCCTCTGAAAGAGTAGCCAGTGCTCTTAACTGTTGAGCCATCTCTCCAGCCCCCCAAAATGTCACTATTTTCAAGAACTGGTATACCTTCTTGAATTTACCTAGCTCTGAAATTAGATTTGAGCAGGGAGTGGCGACACATGGCTATAATCCCAGCACTAGAGAAGCAGAGACAGAAGGCTCACTGACAGGCCAAGGCCAATCTGGTCTACTTGTGAATTCCAGGCTAGCCAGAATTTATATCATGAAACCCAAAGGGGTGGGGGTGGGGGTAGAATATGAGAGAAACTATGAATGGGAATTTGTCTCCTTAAAAAGATTCCTAATTGGGGTGTGGTGGTACATGCCTGTAATCCCAGCGTTCAAGGGGAAGGTAGGTGGATCTCTGTGAGTTCCAGGCCAGCCTGATCTATGTAACAAGTTCTAGACCAGCCAGGGCTATATAATGAGACTGTTTTTGTTTTTTAAAAAAGGATTTCTAAAGAATCTCTGTCATTGATCATCAAAAAAATTTTTAAGTAAATGGGTGCCTATATTCTGTCATTGTAACAAGCCTACCCTGAGGTAATACGAAGCCACTCTGCCCCCTTTCCTGCACTGCATATGCTGGACAACAGTAAATGTCCGGGTATTATCATGCCCAGGTATTGTCAGTCTGTCGTCAATAACATTGCAAGACAGATTTATATTACTTTTTTTTATTTTTTTTTAATGTGTATGCATGTATTGCCTGCATGTAGGTAAGTGCACCCATGTCATGCAGTGCCCACAGAGAACAGAAGAGGTTGTCTGATCCCCTGGAACTGGAGTTACAGACAGTTGTTAGCTGCCATGTGGGTGCTGGGATTCGAACCTGGGTCTTCTGCAAGAACAACCAGCATTCTTAACCACTGAGCCATCTCTCCATCCCCCTGTATTACTCTTATTATAAGACGGATTTGTACTACTCTTGAACATTAAGGGTATGAATTAAACATGCCTCTTGAGACCCTTTTCAATGTAATTAAAAGTGGGTTTTTTTTGTTTTTGTTTTTGTTTTTGTTTTGGGGGTTTTTTTTTGGTCTTTTTGAGACAGGGTCTCCCTGTAGTCCCAACTGTCCTGGAACTCACTATGTAGACCAGGCTGGCCTTGAACTCACAGAGATCTGCCTGCCTCTGCCTCCCGAGTGCTGGGATTAAAGGCGTGTGCCACCATGCCCAGTTTAAAAGTGTATTTTTATGTCTGGCAACCTTATTTGTAAGTTCTGAAAAGGTCTATGGTCATACAAGGTTAGCATTGATTTTTTAAAAAATTTTTAATGATTTTAAGGTATTGTAGGGGACTATTTTTTTTTTA